ACTTTGGGGCAGAGTAAGCTCCGATTGGAAAGAGGTGGGAAATGAGTCTGGATAATGTCGCTTTGACAGATGGAAATGAGACTGAACTGAATAAAAGGTTTGTGTAAGTAAACAACGCATCAGGTTGAATTAGAGGAAATGTTAGCAAACATTTGGACTGTTTTAGAGGTCGGACATTTTACTGACAACCTGCTCCCACTGAAGTCTGCTGCTGTTGTGTCTTTGGGCAAGACACTTAACCCCACTTTATTTAATATACCTAATTTACTTAAAGGAACAATATGTAAAAATCTGGCCAAAAGTGGTACTGCAGTCACAGTCAATATTTTGTAGTCCTCTCCCACTCTCCCTGACTCAGGTTGCCAGATTCACACCAAATCCAGCAGCAAACACAGGGAATTATTTTATCAGTTGTTTGTCCGTCTCCATTCACATTGCCATGACAGCCGTGCTAATGCTGAATGAATGTTTTGATTAATGTTTTTTCATTATTATTATTTGGACATTTGAGATAAAAAACAAAAACAAAATAAAAGCAATGTAATTATACATAGTTTATGCAAAATAAATAAGCAATTGATGTCCAAAATAGGAGTGGGAAGAATGGATGTTGGAACGTATTTCTTCAGCGTATCAACATCAGGGTTTGCTCAAGAGGATATCACCTTTCAATTTTATTTATTCCCTATTTTTTAGACAAACATGTAAAAGTTCCACATCAAAAAGAGACTAACATTATTTTAATTGGGGTACATGTGGTCTTAAATGATTATTTTTACAATTAAGCTATAATCTGCAAAAAAACGTCTTGACCTTCATCTTTTACCGTTTTTAGAGCAATCTGTCATAGAATGTGATAACATGCAATAAATACAAAAAGACATAACCCGGAATCGAACCCGGGTTCCTGCATCGTAAGCGATTAGTTTTAACCACTAGACCACCGATTCACACGAATAGAAACTCTGTGAAGAACGAAGTCAAACTAGAAAATTCTGCATCACACGTGAACTTTTATCAGCTATCTCAATTGTTCAAAGGCGTCCCGATATAAATCCTCGTTTTAGTCTTTGTTTTGTCATTAATGATTTGAGAGTCATAACAAGACCTTTTTTAGTTCTGCGCCACATGTTATTTTACCTCTGAGATTAGTGAGCCGCGCGGAGTTCTGGCAACCCGATCACGGACTTACATGACACTTCCTGATTGGCGAAACGGCGGAGGGTAGGACATCAAAATCAAAACAATAACAACTTTTACGGGTCGTAAAACTAATTTTGATAATCAAATATCTTGGCTGAACTACTGTTATCAGTTGAAGATGAATTCGAAAAGAGTATGATTTAATAACGCCTTTTGAAATATTCGGGTCATTTAATGATGACTTGACATGCAAATATTACATATTGCTCCTTTAACAATCAGAACGTGGGATGGGGATCACTGAAATTGTCAATAAAGGTGGTATTTCTCCTCATTTCAGTGCATTTTGACGGTTTTAGATCAATAATTACCTCATTGATCCCGAAGGAAATTAGTCCCTTTCTCACAATCGCACAAACACAGCACAAGAAAGTTAAAGTTTATAATGGAAAAGCAAAGTCCAGACTTACTGTATCTGACTTTGTTTTACACACAGTGGGAATTTAAGTTTGAATCTTCTTGTCATCTAACCTCCACACAAAACGTTTTAAAAAGAAATAAAGCATATTACTTCAACCCACAAACAGAATCATCATCGCAATCTGAAAAATCAATTGTGATTTTTCAGATTGCGATGATGATTCTGTTACAATCAGAATAGTGCAACACAAACACACAATAATCTTGATAGCTCAGGTCCTGGCACCATATGACGCTCAGACCTCCTGCTGGTTTCCTGCTGGTTTCCTGCTGGTTCCCTGCTGGATTCGCCCTCTGACTTCCTTCATTGTGTTAACCTTTCCTAGCTTCCCACCGACAGGAAGCTAACATGGGCCTTACAAACACTAAACACTGCTTACATTTCATTTGCTGCTTTAACCTTGGCATCTTGCATTTATTATCATTATTAGCATTCCTTGGCTTTTCCTCGTTGGCTTCTCCTTCTCATTAATCCTGACCCGTGGCCCGGAGACTAATCGTGTAAAACCCAAAACAAGACACGGACAAACGAAGGAGTGTGTTTGAAATCGGCGTGTCATTTCTGCAGATTCTTAGCTTTCATATCCTTCCCCTCTCGGTTCAGTTTTGCCGTCTCTGGATGTGTTTTGACTCGTGCTGGAGGGGGAGGTAGAAGGACTGGGGTTGATCTAAAACAGGTTTGTAGCTTCAGGACAGGGCAGAGCGGGTGAAGTCTGCCAAAACAGACTGGCACAGAGCTCAGGCTGTAATGGCTGTGCACGGAATACACCGTTCACTGACTGCAACCCACAGAACATTCTTATTTATATATTTTTTATGTGGTTGGGAGCGAGCTCTTTAATGCAAATATGTAAATACAGATTATGTCAAATATAATCTCTGTTAGAGAAATGGATTGTTCCAAACAGATGTGTCATAGATTTCTGTTCTCTCCTGATGGTCGGGACTCAAAGGTGATTTACGGATTATTTTAACATAGTTTAAAGTCTACATCTATACGTTTGCAAGTTTAGTTTCTGATATTTCAAGCACACAATGAAATGTAATAGAGTATAGAATATCCCATGTTTACTACTTATTATTGTTTAGTTTTTTGATATTTGATTAAAAAAAATGTTTTAACCGTGACCATTTGGCACATTTGTACTGCACATAGACTGTAAATATTACTGAAATGTGTTCTCTCTGGGAATTCATAAAACTAATACAACTGAAAAATAAAATGTTTTCTATGTTATATTTAAAATGTTTTCAATTTCATATTCACCCATATGGTACAAATAAATATCTCCGGGTCTAGCTCCTGTGCTAGCAAGGGGGCTATACTCCATGTGGTGGTGAGTTTACAGTCTGCTTTACTCTTGTCACTCATTTCCTTTAAAACACTGCCAAACATTCTGTCTCGCTGTCTGCTGTTGTGATACTAATGTGAATAAAAAGTATGTATCGGTTGTCCGCATCAGCCCTATGGTACGAGAACAAGGCTGTATAGCCCTAAGTCACAACAGAAGTCATCTCAGAGGACTTAACAAAACCATTGAAATCACCAACACAGATCAGAGAATCAACAGTTAAAACACATGAAAAAAAAAATTAAAAAAAAAATAGTTAGACTTCCGACATAACTGTAATTTCTGGTTAATCGAGTTGAAAAATTACTTTCTTTCTGTGATCAAAAGACAGTCCAACTCAATCCCAATTTCCACATCCTCTGGAAACAAACTGTTTAAAAATAACATTGATTTGATTGATGAATACAAATGATCTAAGGCATGTTTTTGAAAAGCAATTTAATCTTTAGCAAGGTTAAGTAGTTTCAGGTTGGTAATGAATGTCCCAAACTGTAATCCACTTTTGGTACCTGCTCTGGTCTCGTGGAAAGGTGTGTGAACCCATTTTGTGGCTGATTGAAACCTATTCATCATCACTGCCAACCCTCGCTCCACACTTTGCATGTGTTTTTCCACCTCTGCTGCTCCACACTCAAACGTGTAATGATGGAGCAGTGGCTGCACGTGAGGCTCTGAGGCTGTGAATGGTTTTTCCACAAAATTCCACAAAGTCAAATCTTTGAACTTTGGGATCAATATCAGTACGCACTCAATCTGTCCTTTTTTAGTTTGATTCTTTACAAATACTAGACTGTGACAGTACATCGAGTGCTTAACAAAACCAAAAAACATTATTATTTTCTGTTCCACTACAGCCTCCTCACCGGTGCAGAGGGAGGATGACAATTCCGTAAACCTGGGAAAAATAAGTAAATTGTTCTAAGAAACAAGAGAAACATTCATCGACTGAAACACAATCATGTTTTTAAATATTAATTTGATTATCTGAATGATTTTTTTATCCCAGAAACCAATGGTATTAACAACAGCCTTCACAAGATGGACAAATTCAGCCGTAAAAGAGGTCATGACTTCATTCTTCATTGTTTTGACTCTAAAAATGTATTTCAATGTGACATGAGATTGTATTATTTAATGCATATCCTGATTTCAAAAACTGAATCAAACTTCCAGGTTACTCTGATGTGCAAAGATCCCGTCTAAGAGTCTTGATTATCTCAGAGGTTTACAGTTTCTACCAGACAGACTGCACAGAAGTATCAGAAAAACAGTGGTTAATGATGGAGGCAGAGACGATGGAGAAGCAGCAGTGAAAGTCTGGTCCCCACAAGTCTGGTCCCCATAGGTCTGGTCCCCCCCTTTTCATTACCTGAGACTTAAGAAAGACTCCGGTAATGGAAAGACACAGTACAATCACAATGTTATTTATAAAAACAGATCATGTAAAAGTAGAGATTTGTGTTAGTTTTACTCAGAAACTCTCCATACAAGTAAAAAAAACAGATGAAGGAGCATGGAAACAAGAAAGTAGCAGTTGACATATTAAACGTAGTATTTCATTTGTTTATTTACAGTATTTCAAACATACGCAAAATACAAACAAATATTAGCTGAAAAAAATGATTATGAAAATAAACAAGAAAGCATGTGCATGGTTTGAAAAGGGATCAGTCGAAGCAAAAAGCTTATTTTAATCCAACCCCCTCCATTCAAACACATACTACAGTACAATACATGGTAACACACACACATACAAACACACACACATACACGTGCACACACACACACATACACACGCACCACACACACAAACACACACACATGCACACACACATGCACACACATATATAAAACATATGTAGTAGTGTTTCGTCTTGCGCATGATTGAAATAAATAAACAAATGAAATACTATGTTTAATATCTCCACTGCTACTTTCTTGTTTCCATGCTCCTTCATGTTTTATTACTTGTATAGACATGGCATAGGAGAGTTTCTGAGTAAAACTAACACAAATCTGTCTTTCTCACCCACAGACTCCCACCACAGCCACTGCCTGAGTTCGGTCCCCGACGGCATGACCTGAGGGGACCAGACCTGTGGGGACCAGGCCTGTGGGGACCAGACCTGTGGGGACAAGACCTGTGGAGACCAGACCAGTGGGGACCAGACCTGTGGAGACCAGACCTGTGGGGATCAGACCTGTTGGGACCAGACCTGTAGGGACCAGACCTGTGGAGACCAGACCTGTGGGGACCAGACCTGTGAAGACCAGACCTGTGGGGACCAGACCTTTGAAGACCAGACCTGTAGGGACCAGACCTATGAAGACCAGACCTGTGGGGACCAGACCTGTGGGGACCAGACCTGTGGAGACCAGACTTGTGGGGACCAGACCTGTTGGGACCAGACCTGTGGAGACCAGACATGTGGGGACCAGACCTGTGGGGACCAGACTTGTGGGGACCAGACTTGTGGGGACCAGAACTGTAGGGATTAGACCTGTGGGGACCAGACCTGTGGAGACTAGACCTGTGGGGACCAGACCTGTGAAGACCAGACCTGTGGGGACCAGACCTGTGGAGACCAGACCTGTGAAGACTAGATCTGTGGGGACCAGACCTGTGGAGACCAGACCTGTGGGGACCAGACCTGTGAAGACCAGACCTGTGGGGACCAGACCTGTGAAGACCAGACTTGTGGGGACCAGAACAGTGGGGACCAGACCTGTGGGGAACAGACCTGTGGGGACCAGACTTTTGGGGACCAGACTTGTGGGGACCAGACCTGTAGGGATTAGACCTGTGGGGACCAGACCTGTGGAGACTAGACCTGTGGGGACCAGACCTGTGAAGACCAGACCTGTGGGGACCAGACCTGTGGAGACCAGACCTGTGAAGACCAGATCTGTGGGGACCAGAACAGTGGAGACCAGACCTGTGGGGACCAGACCTGTGAAGACCAGACCTGTGGGGACCAGACTTGTGGGGACCACAACAGTGGGGACCAGACCTGTGGGGACCAGACCTGTGGGGACCAGAACTGTAGGGATTAGACCTGTGGGGACCAGACCTGTGGAGACTAGACCTGTGGGGACCAGACCTGTGGAGACCAGACCTGTGGGGACCAGACCTGTGAAGACCAGACCTGTGGGGACCAGACCTGTGAAGACCAGACTTGTGGGGACCAGAACAGTGGGGACCAGACCTGTGGGGAACAGACCTGTGCGGACCAGACTTGTGGGGACCAGACTTGTGGCTACCAGACCTGTAGGGATTAGACCTGTGGGGACCAGACCTGTGGAGACTAGACCTGTGGGGACCAGACCTGTGAAGACCAGACCTGTGGGGACCAGACCTGTGGAGACCAGACCTGTGAAGACCAGATCTGTGGGGACCAGACCTGTGGAGACCAGACCTGTGGGGACCAGACCTGTGAAGACCAGACCTGCGGGGACCAGACTTGTGGGGACCACAACAGTGGGGACCAGACCTGTGGGGACCAGACCTATGGGGACCAGACTTGTGAAAACCAGACCTGTGGGTGAAGACCAGACCTGTAGAGACCAGACCTGGGAAGACCAGACCTGTGTGCTTCTCCATCGTCTCCAACCTCTGCCTCCATCTTTGATGAAGTTCAGCCCCAGTTTTGTGTCAAATCCTTGTCTTTTCAGTTTGACCTCTGTGACCTTTGTGACCGCTCGGCTCACAGAGACGGGACTCCAGACAGGAGGGCTCACTCTGCGGAGCATCCAAACAGGAAGAATTTTGGTCTATTTTAAAAAGCGCCTGTGTTTGTAACTAAGACTTATTATCATCATTGTTGCTTTCTCCAGAATCGATGACGCAAACCCCCCCCCCCCAGTTCAGTTGGTAGAGCATTGGCCTTTGGGCCTGAAGGTCATGGTTTTGAGCCCACCTCAAGACTTTCACCGCCAACTCCCACTTTCTGCTGTTGTTGTGTCCTTGGGCAAGACACTTAACCTTTGGGAAAACCAGATGCCACAGTGGGGTGGCTGCGGCTCCGGTTTGGCACTTTACACTTCCCCCAAATTAGAATGAGTCTGGTGTGTGTGTGAATGGTTGGTGGTGGTGGGAGGGGCTGATGGCACAGACTGGTTGCCTTGCTTCTGTCAGTGTGCCCCAGGGCAGCTGTGGCTACAGTAGTAGTTTATCACCACCGTGTATGGAGTGAATGAATAATGTCATGTAAAGCTTCTTTGAGTGTCCAAAAAAGCGCTATATAAAACCGATGCATTATTATTATTATTAGTTTGTGTACGTTATGTTTATTTATGTAGCACATTTTACAGGCTAAGGTCAAAGCTCTTTACAATGTTCAGACATTGTTTCATTCATCGATAAAACATGTCTGTTATATTGATATGTGTAAAGATAAATCCATCCATCCATTTTCTTCCCCTTAATCCATGTCTGGGTCGGGGGGTGGCAGTCAGAGCTGCACCCAATACATACAAAATGAACGACATGTATTCACAAAACAACAGTGATTATAATGAATCTTGGTTTTATATGATGTGATATTCTATATTGTAAAACATCTCTGTTTTCTTGAACAGAAAAGCACTAAAGTCAAATGCTTTTCTTTAACCAGCGCTTTCATCTGTACACGTACATAAACACTTGTGTATCTGTGCACGTACATAAACACCTGTGTATCTGTGCACGTACATAAACACCTGTGTATCTGTGCACGTACTGTACATAAACATCTGTGTATTTGAGGACGCGTCACTCTGTATCTTCCAATGACTTAACGATGCACATTTGCGATGCTAACGCCGCCGCTGTTAAGTGATTATTGCTCATTATCGTCCAGGTTAGCACAACAATAATAGACGCTGAATTAAAGCTGATGCTTATCTTTGTTAAAGAGCGATGATTGAGAGCTGTGGGTTCAGGCTCACTCTGGAGCCATTAAACCAAAGTTCACGAGGCTAACAGTGCATGATGCTAACAGTGCATGAGGCTAACAGTGCATGATCCTAACAGTGCACGAGGCTAACAGTGCATGAGGCTAACAGTGCATGATGCTAACGGTATCAAACACACGCATGTGTAATGTGTTGGTCCAGTTTAAATGAGCGATGCCCCGTCCTCCATCTGTCACACATTTCTCTTCCACAACAACCGCTGTAAAAAAAAAGAACATGCTTTTACCCTGAATGCACCACGGTGAACTGTGTGTGACACTGTCTGGTGTCTGTCGTCGTATTGGCCGCATTCGTCCAATCAGAATGCTTCCTCACGGCGACATCATTACAGCTTAAACATGATAGTAAACCAATTACACATTTCTGACTCAGTGTGTTTCCGCTGTTTACAGAGTTCACTCAGAGACACAGAAGTGACGAGAGAATGGATCCATAGCTGTGGATCCTGCAGCTGTGGGTCCTGCAGATGTGGATCCTGCGGCTGTGGGTCCTGCAGATTTTGATCCTGCAGCTGTGGATCCTACAGCTGTGGGTCCTGCAGCTGTGCATCCTGCAGCTGTGGATCCTGCAGCTGTGGATCCTGCAGCTGTGGATCCTGTAGCTGTGGATCCTGCAGCATATTTTTCTTTTAAAGCATAATGCTGTATTACTGAGGAGGTGTCAATGTAAAGGGGGAGGAGTCAGTGTAGAGGGAGGAGTCAGTCAGAAGGGGGAGGGGTCAGTGTAGAGGGGGAGGAGTCAGTGTAGAGGTAGGAGTCAGTGTGGCAGCAGGTATGTCTTTTGGTTTTCATGTATTCTTAAGCTTCAGACTAGTTTCAAGTTAAATTACATATAATTAAATAAAGTAAATGGACTTTAGAACAATATTCTCTTGTTCCCAGTTCCTTAAACACGACCAATGAGAGCGCCCCCTGTGGAGGTCTCTGTACGTGACCAGAACAGACCACAGACATGATCGATGCTTTCTTTGACCATGTTAATCTTTGTTCTTACATGATTTGTCCAGATGTGATGAACGGCTGAGAGGGCGGACAGCTTCGATCACGCTAATTTCATGTTTTGAGCCGTGACGCACTTTTCCGTGAGCATCAAGGACATGGACGGGTGTGATTGCCTTCACTGTCCAGGAGGCAATCACAGGCTCTGATTAAGACGGATAAATATCGATGAGCGCTTAATGAGATGTCACCCCGGAACAAGGCCCTTCCGTTCAGGCCGCCTGGCGCCCGCATCAATGGGAGGAAAAATGACCTTGACCTGGCAACATCCCCGACTGCAGCGACAGAGAGTGAGGTTCATTATCATAACCTGCAGAGAAAGACAGATGCAAAACACGGAACAGGCAGAAGGCAGATGCTCGGACTCCGGGAAAAGTACATCTGCTCCATAATGCAACAGGAAACTAGAGTCCACCCAAACTTTCAGAAACTACTCCATAATTATTGTGTTTGTCTGACTTTGTATCATTTCCCTGTTTAAGGAATGTGTGCTGTACTATTTATTTACATTATTTATCTATGACAGAAAACAACGTGTCATGGTGTCATTTTTACTTCCTGTTCTTGTTGAGTTTTACTTCCTGTTGTCTCTGTCTGCACCTGTGTCTTTGTCTGCACCTGTTCTGTGTCTACACCAGTGTCTGCACCTGTCCTGTGTCTACACCAGTGTCTGCACCTGTCCTGTGTCTACACCAGTGTCTACACCAGTGTCTGCACCTGTGTCTACACCTGTGTCTGCACCTGTGTCTACACCAGTGTCTGCACCTATGTCTACACCTGTGTCTACACCAGTGTGTGCCCCTGTCTCTGCACCTTTCCTACACCTGTGTCTACACCTGTCCTGTGTCTACACCAGTATCTGCACCTGTGTCTACACCTGGGTCTGCACCTGTGTCTACACCTGTGTCTGCACCTGTGTCTACACCTGTTTCTACACCAGTGTCTGCACCTGTGTCTACACCAGTGTCTGCACCTGTGTCTACACCTGTGTCTGCACCTGTTTCTACACCTGTGTCTGCACGCGTGTCTACACCCACCTGTGTCTGCACTTGTGTCTACTATTGTGTCTACACATGTGTCTACTCCAGTGTCTACAGCTATGTCTGCACCTGTGTCTGCACCTGTGTCTACTCCTGTGTCTACACCTGTGTCTACACCAGTGTCTACACCTGTGTCCGCAGACTTAATTTTCTCTTTCAACACAAATCTTAAATGAACATTTAACATAATTCAATTATTGTTTGACTTATTTTTATCACTTTTTACAGTTCAAAACCAACATATTTGAACTAAAATGTCCACCCTTCGTTCCGGGAGGCCTCAGTTCCGACCTCAGCTCCGGGAGGCCTCAGTCTGACCTCAGCTCCGGGAGGCCTCAGTCTGACCTTGGCTCCGGGAGGCCTCAGTCTGATCCATGTTTACAGTAAATGTCTCAGGATCATGGTATCTCCTGATCTCTGTGACGGGAACTGTCCGGTCCTGAACCCTCACCTCCTCCGTGGATCTGCTGAATGTTGTGGAAGAGCACGGCATGAGACCGACGAGCCGCAGCTGCACCAAACCCCAACAATAGGCGTCCTGTTCTGGGGCAGAGAAAAGCCCTGCTCCCTCTTTTCCACGGGACGGGGCCCATGTGAGCGGGTGGTCACATATTTCAGGCTTTTGAATGAGATAATCCTCTGTGATGTCCCAGTGTTGTGCTCTCGTGTGGAAAAGGGTCTGGGTTAGACGGAGGATTGTGTGTGTGTGTGTGTGTGTGTGTGTGTGTATGTGTGTGTGTGTGTGTGTGTGTTTGTGTGTGTGTGTGTGTGCGTGTGTTTTCTTTACTTTACAGGAAGATGTTGTGATAATGTGTCCGAGTCTGAGCTGCAAGTATAAGAATAGAGAAGACAAGAGAATCCACATGAGTGGATTGAAGACTGTTTTGGTTTGGTTTGTGAAATGGAGGGTTTTGTGAAGCTCTGTGCATTTGCTTTACTGATAATGAAACCAAAAGTGCTTTGGGAATTTAACTTTAATCCATTGTTTATATAAATATATATTTATGTTAAAAGGAGAGAAACATGGATTGTAGGCATCTGCTAAAGCACCTAAATACAGTTTTAGTATTTTTGTTTCTCAAAGGTGCTTTGTCCAACTGTATGGTTGAGTGAAGACATAATCTAGTTTATGGGGATGTCCTCGGCCGGATTTTTTTCTTTTTAAACTGCAACAGATGAAAGGGATAAAATGGATAGATGGATTAAATAAATAAAAAGATAGGAGGATTTTCCCAAGTGTTAGGTAAGAACCGCCCTCTCCACTTTTTGAACCAAACTCTGCTCTGATTGGACGTATCACCAGAATGGTTGACAGTTGGGAGTACCAATAGTGTTGATGATCCACCCGGAAGTAGAACATCCTCCTAAATACCTTTTAAATATCTACTAATAATTTATGAGATACAATATATGCGCCATAGCTGTAGTTCTGTTTTTAGATTCAGGAAGTGACATAAAAATATTATTATCATTATTAGTTTTTTTCTGTTTTCTGTCTGTTGTGCCGGTGTTTATGTTCACTTTTATGATTAAAACTAAATATTTATGTTTTAAAGCTGAAATAATGTTATTGTGTGTTTTCTGCAAAAGGAGAATTCTTCCTCGTCCTGTTTTTAAACTTCCTCCTTGGTGTTTCATGGGGTTTCATGTTGTGTGATTAGTTAGTTGTGTAATTAGTGAGTTGTGTGATTAGAGAGGTGTGTTGATTAGTGAGTTGTTTGATTAGTGAGTTGTGTGATTAGTGAGTTGTTTGATTAGTGAGATGTGTGATTAGTGAGGTGTGATTAGTGAGTTGTGTGATTAGCGAGTTGTGATTAGTTAGTTGTGTGATTAGTGAGTTGTGTGATCAGTGAGTTGTGTGATTAGTGAGTTGTGTGATCAGTGAGTTGTGTTGATGTGTGGGTTGTGTGATTACTGAGTTGTGTGATTAGTGAGTTGTGTGATCAGTGAGTTGTGTGATTAGTGAGTTGTGTGATTAGTGAGTTGTGTTGATTAGTGAGTTGTGTGATTAGTGAGTTGTGTGATTAGTGAGTTGTGTTGATTAGTGAGTTGTGTGACTAGTGAGTTGTGTAATTAGTGAGTTGTGTGATTAGTGAGTTGTGTTGATTAGTGATTTGTGTGATTAGTGAGTTGTGTGATCAGTTAGTTGTGGTGATTAGTGTGTTGTGTGATTAGTGAGTTGTGTGACTAGTGAGTTGTGTAATTAGTGAGTAGTGTGATTAGTGAGTTGTGTGATTAGTGAGTTGTGGTGATTAGTGAGTTGTGTGATTAGTGAGTTGTGTGATTAGTGAGTTGTGTGATTAGTGAGTTGTGTGATTAGTGAGTTGTGATTAGTGAGTTGTGTGATTAGTGAGTTGTGTTGATTAGTGAGTTGTGTGATTAGTGAGTTGTGTTGATTAGTGAGTTGTGTGATTAGTTAGTTGTGGTGATTAGTGAGTTGTGTGATTAGTGAGTTGTGTGATTAGTGAGTTGTGATTAGTGAGTTGTGGTGATTAGTGAGTTGTGTTGATTAGTGAGTTGTGTGATTAGTGAGTTGTGTGATTAGTGAGTTGTGTGATTAGTGAGTTGTGTGACTAGTGAGTAGTTAGTTTTGTGATTAGTGTGTTGTGTGAGTTGTTTGATTAGTGAGTTGTGAGATTACTGTGTTGTGTGATTAGTGAGTTGTGTGATTAGTGAGTTTTGATTAGTTAGTTGTGTGATTAGTGAGTTGTGTGATCAGTGAGTTGTGTGAGACCGTCGTGAGACAGGTTAGTTTTACCCTACTGATGATGTGTTGTTGCAATAGTAATCCTGCTGTGAGTTGTGTGATTACTGAGTTGTGTGATTAGTGAGTTGCGTGATTAGTGAGTTGCGTGATTAGTGAGTTGTGTGATTACTGAGTTGTGTGATTAGTGAGTTGTGTGATTAGTGAGTTGTGTTGATTAGTGAGTTGTGTGATTAGTGAGTTGTGTTGATTAGTGAGTTGTGTGATTAGTCAGTTGTGTGATCTGTGAGTTGTGTTGATTAGTGAGTTTTGTGATTAGTGAGTTGTGTGATTAGTGAGTTGTCTGATTAGTGAGTTATGGTGATTAGTGAGTTGTGTGATTTGTGTGATTAGTGAGTTGTGGGGATTAGTGAGTTGTGCTGATTAGTGAGTTGTTTGATTAGTGAGTTGTGTGATTAGTGAGTTGTGTGATCAGTGAGTTGTGTGTTTACTGAGTTGTGTGATTGGTGAGTTGTGTGATTAGTGAGTTGTGTTGATTAGTGAGTTGTGTGATTAGTGAGTTGTGTTTATCAGTGAGTTGTGTGATTAGTTAGTTGTGGTGATTAGTGTGTTATTAGTGAGTTGCGTGACTAGTGAATTGTGTATTTTATTGAGTTGTGTGATTAGTGAGTTGTGGTGATTAGTGAGTTGTGTTGATTAGTGAGTTGTGTGATTAGCTAGTTTTGTGATTAGTGAGTTGTGTGATTACTGTGTTGTGTGATTAGTGAGTTGTGTGACTAGTGAGTTGTGTGACTAGTTAGTTTTGTGATTAGTGTGTTGTGTGAGTTGCTTGATTAGTGAGTTGTGAGATTACTGTGTTGTGTGATTAGTGAGTTGTGTGATTAGTGAGTTTTGATTAGTTAGTTGTGTGATTAGTGAGTTGTGTGATCAGTGAGTTGTGTTGATGTGTGAGTTGTGTGATTACTGAGTTGTGTGATTAGTGAGTTGCGTGATTAGTGAGTTGCGTGATTAGTGAGTTGCGTGATTAGTGAGTTGTGTGATTACTGAGTTGTGTGATTAGTGAGTTGTGTGATTAGTGAGTTGTGTGATTAGTCAGTTGTGTGATCTGTGAGTTGTGTTGATTAGTGAGTTTTGTGATTAGTGAGTTGTGTGATTAGTGAGTTGTCTGATTAGTGAGTTGTGTTGATTAGTGAGTTGTGTGATTAGTGAGTTGTGTTGATTAGTGAGTTGTGTGATTAGTCAGTTGCGTGATCTGTGAGTTGTGTTGATTAGTGAGTTTTCTGATTAGTTAGTTGTGGTGATTAGTGAGTTGTCTGATTAGTCAGTTGTGTGATCTGTGAGTTGTGTTGATTAGTGAGTTTTGTGATTAGTGAGTTGTGTGATTAGTGAGTTGTATGATTAGTGAGTTGTGGTGATTAGTGAGTTGTGTGATTTGTGAGTTGTGGGGATTAGTGAGTTGTGCTGATTAGTGAGTTGTTTGATTAGTGAGTTAGTAAGTAAGTAAGTAAGTTTTTATTTATATACCGCCTTTTCACTGCAGATCTGAGTCTCAAAGCGGTTTACAATTGTTAATTATGGGCATTTGTCTCTCACTCCACACAGAGATGGGAGTGGGGTCGCCAGTACAGGAGGCGCATGCTAGAACTATTGGACATATTTTTAGTGGTAGGGGAAACCGGAGCACCCGGAGGAAACCTACGCAGACACGGGGAGAACATGCAAACTCCACTCAGAAAGGCCCTGGTCCGGCCGGGATTTGAACCCAGGACCTTCTTGCTGAGAGGCGAGAGTGCTATCCACTCAGCCACCGTGCCGCCAGTTGTGTGATTAGTGAGTTGTGTGATCAGTGAGTTGTGTGTTTACTGAGTTGTGTGATTGGTGAGTTGTGTGATTAGTGAGTTGTGTTGATTAGTGAGTTGTGTGATTAGTGAGTTGTGTTTATTAGTGAGTTGTGTGATTAGTTAGTTGTGGTGATTAGTGTGTTGTGTTATTAGTGAGTTGCGTGACTAGTGAATTGTGTATTTTATTGAGTTGTGTGATTAGTGAGTTGTGTGATTAGTTAGTTGTATGATTAGTGAGTTGTGTGATCAGTGAGTTGTGTTGATGTGTGAGTTGTGTGATTACTGAGTTGTGTGATTAGTGAGTTGCGTGATTAGTGAGTTGCGTGATTAGTGAGTTGTGTGATTACTGAGTTGTGTGATTAGTGAGTTGTGTGATTAGTGAGTTGTGTTGATTAGTGAGTTGTGTGATTAGTGATTTGTGTTGATTAGTGAGTTGTGTGATTAGTCAGTTGTGTGATCTGTGAGTTGTGTTGATTAGTGAGTTTTGTGATTAGTTAGTTGTGGTGATTAGTGAGTTGTCTGATTAGTCAGTTGTGTGATCTGGGAGTTGTGTTGATTAGTGAGTTTTGTGATTAGTGAGTTGTGTGATTAGTGAGTTGTGTGATTAGTGAGTTGTGTTGATTAGTGAGTTGTGTGATTAGTGAGTTGTGTTGATTAGTGAGTTGTGTGATTAGTCAGTTGTGTGATCTGTGAGTTGTGTTGATTAGTGAGTTTTATGATTAGTTAGTTGTGGTGATTAGTGAGTTGTCTGATTAGTCAGTTGTGTGATCTGTGAGTTGTGTTGATTAGTGAGTTTTGTGATTAGTGAGTTGTGTGATTAGTGAGTTATGTTATTAGTTAGTTGTGCGATTAGTGAGTTCTGGTGATTAGTTAGTTGTGTGATTAGTTAGTTGTGGTGATTAGTAAGTTGTGTTGATTAGTGAGTTGTGATTAGTGAGTTGTGTTGATTAGTGAGTTGTTTTGATTAGTGAATTGTGTGATTAGTGAGTTGTGTGATTAGCTAGTTGTGGTGATTAGTATGTTGTGTGATTAGTGAGTTCTGATTAGTGAGTTGTGATTAGTGAATTGTGTTGATTACTGAGTTGTGTTGATTAGTGAGTTGTGTTGATTAGTGAGTTGTGATTAGTGAGTTGTGATTAGTGA